CGCCCCCGGCCGCGTGTCTGCATGTCCCGAGGAGGAGCCGGAAAGTGGGGAGCAAGCGGCCTGGTGGGCAGCAGAGGTATGGGGGGCTCCGCCCTGAGCAGCCAGGTGGGCCATGTGGCCCGCTGGACCTTTCGAATGCGTCGTGCTCTGGCCGAGGGTCTCGCCCGGGGGCCAGTGGTCTGGTCACGGGTTGGTATGGGGAGGTGCCTCCGACTGTGTGGGCCCTCCTGGCTCCGGAGCTCTCGGAGCTCGGAGAGAGGGCAGTGGGCTGCGAGGAAGCCCGCTCCACCCAGCTTGGCCACACGGCACGGCGCCGCCAGGCCGTGGCCACTAGGGGGCGGGGGCCGCGCTCCCAGAGAGCCGCCTAGGTCTGACCGCCGCTCTGTGAGGACCCGGCCTTTCCGAGCCGGCGGGCGGAGCGGGGCGCCGGGACGTCTCCTGGACTGCTAGCCCTCGAGGCCCCTCCCACTGGGCGGGATCCTGCGTGGCTCCGCTCTGTAGGACTGGAGTCCCCCTGCTCATTGAGCCAGCCTCTCGATGAGACCAGGAGCAGAGAGGACACGCCCAGATACTCTGAGGGATCTTGATGCAGGCTGTCCTAGGCGCGGCAACCTCACGGAGCCCCTGACGCTTGAGGGGCCTCCGCAGTGGGGGTCGAGGTAGACCTCATGCCCAGACGGGCTCTCAAGCTCGCCCCAGGGCGCCTGCTCCGACCTGGTGCCTGCTAGGCTCTTTGCTTGTCTCAGCACCCTCTACCCAAACGTAGTGGGGAGGGCCCTTGGCGCCTGCGCACGCAGTGGAGACCTGGACACGGAGTGGAAGGAGGCTGGCCGTGTCCGCCCAGCTCAGAGGGAAGCAGTGGACTGTTGGGGAAAGTGTCCCAGAGTGGCAGGATGGGCTCACAATCCTGCATCCACTTTGTGAACGCTGCTTTGCTGTCTCCTCCCTGCAGCCCGAGGCTGGACGCTGGACCCTCGCTTCTGTTTTCCAGACCCGCTCTAAACACTTCGCCTGTGGGCATAGTGTGGGGTGCAGGAGGGGCAGCCACACACAGGTTCCCTGAGACCTTTTCTGGTCCACTTGAGGTCTGTGCCAAGACTTCTCCACAGCTCCTCCCGAGAACTTTGGATTGTGGTTTCACTGGCCAGGGACATTCACTGCAGGGTGACCTACTCGGGAGTCTGCGTGTCTGTACTTGCATCCTCATGGAGCCACTACATGTGGGGCCCTTAGTGCCAGTGAGAAACTGCTTCTTTCTCAGCCCCGTAATGCACCTGCTGCTGCCCTTGAGGGCACAGACCAGCCCCGGCTCCAGAGTGGGTGATGGAGGGGTCGGAGCCACATCCGACCATGCCAGGATACAGTCACAGACAAGCCTGGGAAGCCTCCGGTACCACCTGCCTCTGGCAGTCCTGAAATGGCATAGGTGTTTAGCCCCCCAGTCTCCAGGTGTGGCCAGCTGACCAACAGCATTATGCCCTGGGAGGAGAGCTGCCAAATGGGAGCTCTTTTGCTCACTCCAGCTGGGTGTAACGACTTGAGGGTGGGCGGGAACTGGTGAGTCCAGGAAGCTGGCTACCAGACCTGTGATTCTCTTTGTACCCTAGCTGTGCACCTGGGTCAGGGTCAGATCTTCTAGGCCCCCATTGGGTGGGCTTTCCCATGGACTTGTAACCTTTCTCCCCAGCCAGGGGTCTTGACCATCTGGGGCACTCAAGAAACATGGCAGGTTGACCTACCTGATTCCCCCTTCTGCTGCACAGACAGCTAGGGCCGGTGGACTGAGTACCAGGAGCCCATGCCTGCACCCCTGCCTAGGGCAGCTTCAATCTCCCTGAGCATGGGCCAGGCCCCACTCATCTTTCCCGGGCCTGGGGGGCAGCCAGCCACCCACCTGTGGTGCCCCTGCTCCAGGTAACTTCCAACTCCAGGATTACCTGGGTGGTGAGGAGGGTGTCTGCTTCAAGGCAGATCCCAGGAGTACCTCCTTTTGCTAGATGTATGAAGCCCATGTGGAACCTTCCTTTTCCCTGAGCCCTGGCCAGCGCTTGTCTCAACGCCAGAAGCCAGCTGGCCACAAGACTACCATGGCAAGAGGGAGCTGGCACACATAATCCACCTGCCCCAGGAGGTGGCTTGGGGCCAGCCAGAGCCTCTCTGCATAGATCTGAGTCTGTAAAGGGATTTCAGCTGTTCCACCCTTGTTGAGGGTGGGGCCAAAGCCTCCCTTCCACCTGTTGCTGTGGGCAGGGAGGTGGCAGTGTCCAACAGACTGCTGAGCATTGGAGGGCTGCAGGGACCTGATAGAGCCTCTGTGAGGTGGGGGTGGGGCAGTAGTTATTCTTGGGTGCTGCTGGAGGGTAGAATTTCAGATTTGTTTATGCCTTTAGGAGGCACCTTGGAGCCAAAGGTGGGGCATCCAGCTCAGTGCTAATATTCAAGTCACCTGGTCACCAGGAGGGGGCCTCAGATTTCCTTGTCCTATCATCTGTGGGGATGTGGGTGGGGAATGAGCTTCCTTCAGGGAATTGTGGGAGGGGTACTGGAGCACAGTGGTCCTGAGCAAGCCCCAGGCAGGCAAACCTGCAAGCCTGTGCAGAGGCAGGCAGTCCACATGCGGGGCTGGCCTGGAGATTGTGCAGGCCACACTAGGCAAAATCGGTGCTATTAATATCTGGCGCATGAGCCCCAGCTGGGTGATCCTCTTATGCCTGTGGCCTCTGAGGCCAGCAGTGTGTGCCATTAATACAGTGGACTCTTGGGACCTCCCACCTTCTGTGCCTCTAGCCCCTATACCAAGCAGACAGCCTCTGTCTGCCAGGGCGCCGGACCCACCCAGCTCTTTACCTGCTGTGCTGCCCATAAGAGTGGTTACACCATGGAGGGCTAATTCAGGTAGGCAGAGCTCCTGAACTGTCTTGGGAAGCTGCTGTGGATTTAAGAGGACGCCATGCCTCCCCTAACTGCCCGCGCCTAAGCCACACACTCTTGGGATCACCCCACTGTCCAGGAGCAGCCACCTCCAGGATCTCTGTGCCTACTGCATCCTTAGCCATGAGCAACCCCCCTGCTTACCCTGGCATGAGGATCTCAGGGTGCTGGGCCCTTGGAGCAGAAGGCAGGTGAGTCAGAGCAATGTCCTTGCTGGTGAGGAATCTACCTTCACAGTGGTGCTGGCTACTCCGAACCTGTGTGCAGTGTGTGTCTATGGATATAGGAAACAAACAGGCTGGCAGGCACTCTGGGGAGCCTGGCACGGCTCAGGCCACAGGCGTGGTTTGCTTAGGGCTGTGGGTTTTGAGTGTGTCTTGTGTTCATTGTGGCTCATAATCCTTTGGGCTGAGATAGTGTTTGTCAGAAACACCCTTGTCCATTTGTGGATGGGAAACAAGGTCTTGTGTGCAAACTTTCCTTCTCTAGGGGTGCTTCTTGCAAGATAGCAGAGCTGGGCTTGGTGTGGACACAGCCTGATGTCTGGGCCCATCAAAAGCAAGGTCAGGCAGGTTTTCTCTCCAACCTGCTTGTGGCAGGTCTGCACCAGGCTCAGCAGCACAAAACTTGGAGGGGAACTGGTTGTGGTGGGACTTCAGTATGGTGAGAGTTACTGAGGGGGCTGTGTAGTGAGGACCAAGGAGAGCAGGGCCAGCCACAGCCCCTGACTTCTGCCCAGTATCAGTCCAAGCTGGTCCTGCTTTGTACCACTGGGTTGATACCACTCACCACTGAAATCCAGAGCTCAACACAGGCAGCTCTGGGTGTGTCTTTCAGCGCCCCCCCAGCCTGAGGCATAGGGTGATTCCTTGCAGCTGGTGGGTGAAGCGCGCAGAGGAAGGGCCAACCTGTGTTGGCTGTCTGCGCACTGTGGCCTCAAGGGTCCCTTGGAGCTGCCCTATCTTTTGGGATTGTGCTGTCTGTGCAGGCTGACAGCTCCAAGCTTTACCCAAGGGGGCTGCCACTGCTCCCCGCTGTTGGGCAGCCCATTGGGTGGGCCTAGCAGAGCCATTATCGGTACTATTGGTGGATTAGTGTGCCCAGGTGACCAGCCAGCTGCACTGTGTCAGGGATCTGGGACATGACTGTGTTTGTGAGTCCTGACTCTCCCTTCTTAGAGCCATCCAGGCAGACCTGTGTTTGGTGGAACCTCTCAAAAGGCTCGTCATACTTTGGCCTGTGTCCACCACAGGCTGTCCCGCTCCCATCTTGGTGCCCAGTGGAGCAATGCTGTCCGCAGGCTCCCTGCCTGGCCATTTTAATAGCTGGCTGTGTTGTTTGTGCTCTGCCTGTGTTGTTTGTGCTCTGCCTCCTGCCAGTGCCAGTGCCAGTGCCAGTGCTGAATTCCAGAGTCACAGAGGTGAGACTGAGCTCAGAAAACTGGCTAATTACTCCCCAAGCTCTCCTCAGGGTGGATGGCGTGGAAACGGCCAGGTCTATCTGTCCTCGAGAACAAGTGCATTGTGTTTTTCTTGTCAGATGAGTGGTCTTTTTGCTGCTTAGGCTTGTGCCCACGTTGCTGTGTGCCTTTGAGAGCTGCTAATGTAACCTGTCACGCATTATTAGGCTTCAGCTCCCCACCGCCACTGCAATAGACACCATTTCCTGGACCGTGGTGATTGCAGGTTACTCGGAGAGGAGCACACCCCTGGAAACAGTGCTCCTGTCCCAGAAGCAGGAATGTGCTTGTCCCACCCCATGTCCTCTGTGTGCCAGCCCTGGGAAGCACTGCGTGGGCCTCTGGGTGGCTGCTGCAACGGACGCAGCCGGACATCCAACTTCCCTGGCAGACCATATTGTGGTTGGGGTAGCAGTGAGGCGAGTGCTTGTACACAAGAGTCTCTGTTCCGAATCCCAGTGCCCAGAGCAATCCCAGTTATGACTGATGTGTCCATTTGTAGCTTTTTTATGCTCACAGGCAGTGACTTGAAGTCACATTCCAGTGATGATTCTTTGTCTGCTGAGTGGTTGGTTTTGGTTTGTTTTTGTGTGGCTGGGGACTGAACCCAAGAGCTCAAACAGGCTAGGCATGTGTTCTACCACTAAGCTACATCCCTCTAGCCCTTTTACTTTTATTTTTAACACATGGTCTCACTAAGTTGTTTAGGCTGAATTTAAAACTTGTAATCCTCCTGCCTCAGCCTCTAGAGGTGGAGGTTTACAGGTTTGTGCCACCATACCTGGCTTATCTGTTGGGTTTCTCTAAAAATGAAATCACATATTTTCATAGTTTAATCTTCTTACCTAACCGTGCTCCAGGACTCACCTGGTATTCTCTGCAGTGTTCTTCGCTTGTGCCATTCCAGATCATGGTGAGCAGGCCGCACTGCGGTAGAAAGCACCCGGCAAGGAGCTGGCCCTGCACACCCACCTGCTCTCTCTCTTTACTCCTCTCCTTTTCCTTTTCCTTTTCTTCCCCTCCCCTCTCTCATTCCCATCCCTTTCCTTTTCATTGTTTCTTTTTGTGTTGTTTTGTGGTGTGTGTGTGTGTGTGTGTGTGTGTGTGTGTGTTTTGCTTTGTTTTGTTTTGGGTTTTTTTGGAGTGGATTTTGAGACAGGTTCTCAATCTGTAGCCCAGTCTGATCTCAAACTTGCAGTGCTCCTGCCTCAGCTTCCTGAGTGCTGGGAATATAGGTGTGGTACATCACGACATCTAGCTTCTACCTGCTGTTTTTGTAGACATCTCTCCTGCCCACCAAGTGCTCTGCCCTGTGTAGTCAGAGGCCCAGGTCAAGGAGTCATCCCCAACATGGGTGGGCGATGACCTGCCAGGCCAAGCCACTAAGCCCTGAAAACCTCTTGGGCACCCTGGAAGATGGTGCTAGGGACCCTGTGACCAGTCCAGTCTCCCTCTCTGCAGTGGCCCCTGTCCACTCTGGATATCCATAACATCTTCCAATCAGGCTCTGCCTCTCAGGACAGACTGAGCAGGTGGTAGGTATACCATGCAGTTGACCAGGTCTTCCCGAAAGCTGTCGCCTTTAAGGGTTTGAGGACATAGCTAGAAATGGCACCCCTTTGGGGACACAAGCCAATTGCATAATCAGCAGGAGGCTGAGTGGCAGCTCTGCATGAATAGTGGTATAAATGGACACAGGCACAAGTCTAGGCCTTACCTGGGTTGAGTGTCCACCTGCAGCCTCCCCCTTCTCCATGGTGGCTCAGGGTTCAGCTCTAAAGTTAGCCCAGACAGGTGGTGTTTATTGGATGCTGAAGTTTTTGCCTTGGGGACCCAGGAGGGGTCATGGTGAGAACAAGTGGGCTCCCTGAAAGACTCCCAGGCTAGGATCTCCTCATTGTTGTTGTTGTTTGAGTCTCACTGTGTAGTTCACGATGGTCTTGGACTCACTGTGTAGCCCAGGCTGGACTCAAATTTGCAGCGATCCTCCTGCCTCAGCCTCCTGAGTGCTGGATTACAGGTGTGTGCCACCACACCCAGCTTCTTGCCATCTGTCCTATGCTCTGACAGCTAGTGAGGCCTGGCAGGGCACCGTCCTGCACAGGGCCATCCTGCCACTGACATTACCTCTGCCACTGCACTGCCCTCCCATCTCCTGGAGTGCCTGCCCTTCAGGATGCCAGTGACTGGGCTGCTTAGTGAGTGCCTGGGCTGGGAGGGCTGTGGTCTTCTATAGGGTCTTGTCCTGGAGCTCCTACCTCTCATCCCTTGAGGTCAGTGCCGCACCCAGCCCAGTCCACACAGAAGATGGAGTATGGCCAGAGATAGTGGCTCCTCCTGTGTTTTGTTATCATCTCCTGTCCTTGCTGTGTGGACAGATGGTCCGAGGCCCTTTGAGATCAGCTGCATATGCCCTCTTGTGCATGCCCAGGTTGAGCCACCCATCTTAGCCAAGCCAGTGCCTTCAGGGACACATCCCATGGACCCTTTCTCTGGGTGCGACTCACCCTGGGCCTGTGCTGAATATATCTCTCTTTGCAGTAGTAATGCAGGGTGCCTGGACAGACTCCTCCCACCCGTGGGTACCGGGCGCTCACCCCGGAAGCGTACCACCAGCCAGTGCAAGTCCGAGCCACCCCTGCTGCGCACAAGCAAGCGTACCATCTACACAGCAGGGCGACCTCCCTGGTACAACGAGCATGGCACTCAGTCCAAGGAGGCCTTTGCCATCGGTGAGAGGAGTGTAGGTAGGCGCCTCTGGGACCCATCTGTGTAGCCAGCCCTATTGCTCCTGACCAAAGGGTTCTCTTCCTCCCTGGCAGGGCTGGGAGGTGGCAGTGCCTCTGGGAAGACCACTGTGGCCAGGATGATCATCGAGGCACTGGATGTACCCTGGGTGGTACTGCTGTCCATGGACTCCTTCTACAAGGTGAGGCACTACTCAGCTCCCCGGAGCAGCCTACATCCTCCGACCCGTGTCCCCTGCAAATGTAGACCCATGATCCCTGGGCCTTTGCATGGCTAAGCCAGGGGCTGTGGGTGAGCATCTTTCTGTGTTCCGTGGCTCCCACAGGTGCTGACACAGCAGCAGCAGGAGCAGGCTGCCTGCAACAACTTCAACTTTGACCATCCAGATGCCTTTGACTTCGATCTCATCATTTCCACTCTCAAGAAGCTGAAGCAGGGCAGGAGCGTCCAAGTGCCCATCTACGACTTCACCACCCACAGCAGAAAGAAAGAATGGGTAGGCCCAGGGCTGCAGAGGGGACTGCAGAAGTGTGAGCTAGGCCTTGAAACTCCCTGGGTTCCTTTGCAGAAAACGCTTTATGGTGCAAATGTCATCATCTTCGAGGGTATCATGGCCTTTGCTGACAAGACACTGTTGGAGGTGAGGACCTGCTAGGACACCCACCACAAAGGTGTCCCTGTGCCTTAAACATTCTTCCTGCAGCAAGGAACTGTGTACACATCTAGACGAATCCTCCTGCCTGGCTTCCTGTTACCTGTCCGCAAGGCCATTCACTCTCCTGTCTGATTGGGCCCTCCCCACCCCAGGAGGTTGCAGGAATGCCCCAGGCATGATACACCTTGGTCATCTCCTGGGTGGGATGGCAGGGTGTGACTGCTGGGGACAGTGGTTCCCCCTTCCATGTGCTGAATCTTGTGCCTGTATCTGCTGTGTTCTTCACATTCTTGTTCCTTGCTGAGATCCATGGGAGGTCTTGAGGCCAAGGAGATTGAGGGGCTTACTGTAGCTCATATGGACTGAGTTTGATTTTGGCTCAGGCCCAGAGGATGCCACTCTCTGGCATACAGCAGCACCAGTCCCAAAACAGCTTCTCACGGGACATTTGCCATGTGCTAAGTGGTGGGGCCACACCCAGAGCTCACTAAGTCCCAGGTCCCCCAGTATTCACAGGAGCTGCAGTGAGCAAAGTGTAGATCATGCTACCCTACTCTGCTCCTGCCTGATTCTGTCCTGAGCCCTTGACCTACAGTGCCCCCTTCCATGTATCTGGACTTGGCACCCACAGCACCCCACACCTCTTGTGTACACATCTGGGCACATACTCCTGCCTGGCTTCTTGCACAGGCCCAGCACACAGACCAGGAGGTCTTGTGGCAGTAGCTGACTGACCCACGTGGCCATGCTGGCTCTGCTGGCGACGGTGCCCTCAACAGGCCTGTGACAGTCCTGCTGGGGCAGCACTCAGCCCCACTCATTGGCTCACTGTCCCCAACCAGCTCCTGGACATGAAGATCTTTGTGGATACTGACTCTGATATCCGACTGGTGCGGCGGTTGCGTCGGGACATCAGTGAACGCGGCCGGGACATCGAGGGTGTCATTAAGCAGTACAACAAGTTTGTCAAGCCTGCCTTCGACCAGTACATCCAGCCGACCATGCGCCTGGCAGATATTGTGGTGCCCAGAGGTGAGGCTGCCAGGCCACTGCTAAGGGGTGGGACACACAGGCAACCCAGCCTCTGAGTTGCCCTCCTCCATCTGCCCAGGAAGTGGGAACACGGTGGCCATTGACCTGATTGTGCAGCATGTGCACAGCCAGCTGGAAGAGGTGAGCTGGAAGAGGCCAGACGCAGCTGCATCCCTGCCACTCTGCTGCCCACCCATTGTAGCCTGTCCCCACACCCTGTGTCCCACGGAGGTGCCAGCCTTTGAGTGTCTTGGGCCAGCTTTGTCAGCCTGGTCCCCCAGCCCATCTCCCAGCCCCTCCTGCTGCCTGGAGGAGTTGCAGGTCTCAGTCCTGGCCAAAGACCAGGCCACTACCTGCCCGCAGCTGAAGAATGGCCTTGCACAGAAGGGCACACTCCTGTCCTTCCCAGCCCTTTGGAGACAGCAAGGAAGATTCAGTGTCCCACTGGCCCAGGACATGGGGTTTCAGTGTTAAAACTGTGACATTGGTCAGTGACTCCTGTCACACTGTTTGCCCTAGGAGTGACACTCCCACTGTAGGACCAACATGGGGCATTTGGTGGCTGGTCTTCGAGTCTGGGTATGGTTTCCAGTGTACTGTTGGAGGGCTGGAGCCTGCGGAATGGGTGCAGGGGTCCAGGCTTTCACTGCCCCGATCCAGAACCCCAGGTCTTGGCCAAGTGGTCCCAGGTTTGAGGCCATTAGAAGCTTGCCCCTCCCACTGCTGGCAGCTGCCTGGGCTGTTTCCCCACAGGGCCATGGCCTGTCCATTCCCGGGTGGGGGGAGCCTGGCGCTTGCCCTGGTCACTGACGCATCACCCGTTCCCTTGTGTTTCCTTGTGTTGCTGTCACAGCGTGAACTCAGCGTCAGGTAAGACTTCCACTGCTGTCTGCACGGATGGAGGCATTTCCGGTATCCACATTGAACCCCAGGGCTGAGTTGGTACCCAGCCAGGCAGCAGGCAGCTGAGGGGTGGAGTGGCCTTGGTTCTGCTTCCCCTTGTAGATAGATAAGGCATTTGAGACACAGTTCAAGTAACTCCAGCACCTGTGCTGGCTCACTGTTGATAGAGTCTCCTTTCTGTGGTGCTTGCCCCCAGAGATCAAAGATGTCTCCTCAGCAGCAGTAGGGTCTGGCTCTGCCTCCTCATCATCTTTGGGGGTGTGAGGCTTCAGCCCCTCCTTTGCCCTCCCTGCCCACCCTGGCTGTGCTGTGTCCCTCTCTGACCTTCAGTCACTGGTGCAATGCTTAGATGAACCTGGCAGGCGGGAGTCAAGCACCTGTTCAAGCCTTGGGCAGCACCAGAACCCTGCCCTTCCCCTAGGCTGTCCTGGAGGCCAGGAAACTCTGGCTGAGCCACCACTTGGAAATGCCTCCGGGGCCGCCTTCCTGCCACTTGCTTCTGGTCCCTGCATGCCTCTCTGCTTGCCCCTCACCAAGACCTGGGCACCGCAGGCCTCCTATCAGGTCCCTCTTGAAGCTTTTGTTCTCAGAAGTTTCTAGGGTGTGGCCAGCTCCATTTTCCATTCTCTGGTCACCTAAGGAAGTGGTGGCCAGTGCCCCACGAACTTCCTTCAGCCACAGGAAGTGGTCAGCAGCAGGAGGGAAGGGTACTCCAGCTTGCGCAAGTGCCCTGGCCTCTTCTCCTCTGCCCTCCAGCTGAGACCACCTTCAGGAACACCACTGCTCTCCCCACTAAGTGGTCTTCTCTTTGTTCTTTTCCTCTGTGTAAACCCGTTTCCTGCCTGTTCCCTCCCTGAACACGCTGTTCACCTGGCGAGCAGAGGAAGCTGCGTTGGGATCTGTGAGCAGAGCGTGCTCTTTGTGCTGCGCTGTGTGCCTCCTGCCCGCCACGGCCGTGCCTGCTCCCCCGTGCCCCCACGTCCTCGTCCCCGCACCCCTGCCTCTGCATTCCCACACGGCCCCTGTTGTCTTTGCCTCCCCCTCCTGCCTGCCCTCCTCCCCACACCCCTGCCCACCCCGTCCTCGCCCCTCACCCCTTCTGCCTCCCCTGCCCCTCCCCCTTTCCTCTCAGGCTGGGTGGATGGGGGGACCTGCCCCTGCCGAGTCCTCTTTGCCAGCTCTGCTGAGGGTCCTGCACCGCCTGCAGGTGTGGGCCTGGGCCGGGCTTGACCCACTGCCTAGTTCTTCCAGGGAGAGGTTGGGGACAAGCTTCCTGTCGTGGGTCCAGGATTTGTCAGTACTATGAGCCCACCCTCTGCCACTTGGGCCGTGACTTCCTCTGAGCCTGGAGGGCAGTTTCCTGTCCCCACCCCACATGGCCAGCTACTATCCTCTGCCTTCTGCCCTTCACCTGCCGGTGCAGGTGGGGTGGCATCCGTCCTCCCCACAGCTACAGCCAGGCAGCCAGCACCCACCCTGCCAGCCGCCTTCCCCCACAGTTGTCCCCTCATGGTGACGCACAGCTGTCCTGGGGCTAGAAGGGGCCCTGGGATAAGATGCCCCATTTGTGAGTGTCCCCAATTGGTTTGTGTCCCCAGGGCTGCACTGGCCTCAGCACACCAGTGCCACCCACTTCCCCAGACACTGAGTGTCCTCAAGAGCACACCTCAAGTGCGTGGCATGCACACCATCATCAGGTGAGCACCACCTCTGGGGCAGGATGGGGCATGGCGACCCCAGGAGCCCATGCCACCGAGCTAAGCGCCACCACCTGGCAGGGACAAGGAGACCAGCCGGGATGAGTTCATCTTCTACTCTAAGAGGCTGATGCGACTGCTGATTGAGCACGCGCTCTCCTTCCTCCCCTTCCAGGTGAGGAGCCGCCTGTGGGGTAGGCTGGGGCAGGGATGGGCAGGGATGGTGCTCAAGATCCTGGCTCCTCCTGTACAGGATTGTGTGGTGCAGACTCCACAGGGCCAGGACTACGCGGGCAAGTGCTATGCAGGGAAGCAGGTGAGCATGGCCAGCGGGGCTTGGGGCTGGGGCGGGGGCTGGCTCACTCCATCCCCTCCTCCCCAGATCACAGGTGTGTCTATCCTGCGTGCCGGGGAGACCATGGAGCCTGCGCTTCGTGCTGTGTGCAAAGACGTCCGCATCGGCACCATCCTCATCCAGACCAACCAGCTGACCGGGGAGCCTGAGGTGCTGAGGGTCACAGGGAAGGGCTGGAAGGGGAACTCCAGGGAGCCCATTGTGGGAACGGCTCACCTCCACTGCCCACAGCTCCACTACCTGCGCCTGCCCAAGGATATCAGTGATGACCATGTGATTCTGATGGACTGCACGGTGTCTACAGGCGCGGCAGCCATGATGGCAGTGCGCGTGCTCCTGGTAAGTGGGCCCCGAGTGGGCACAGAGGCTTCCATGGAGCTGAGACTAACCATGTCCTTGCATGGTCAGGACCACGATGTGCCAGAAGACAAGATCTTCTTGCTATCCCTGCTCATGGCGGAGATGGGCGTGCACTCTGTGGCCTACGCCTTCCCTCGTGTGAGAATCATCACCACGGCTGTGGACAAGCGCGTCAATGACCTTTTCCGTATCATCCCAGGCATTGGTGAGGCTACCCTGGACCTCTCACAGGTGCCCAGGGGCAGGGCTGTGACCTCAGAGGCTCCACCACACTGGGCTGCTTCTTTCAACAGGGAACTTTGGTGATCGGTACTTTGGGACAGATGCAGTCCCAGATGGCAGCGATGAGGAGGAGGTGGCCTCCACAGGCTAGCCTTCCAGGCTGAGCCCTCCACCCCAACCCGCTTCCCTCTGCCTCCTGCCTGGGATTGAAGCTGGATGTGGGGGCTCAGCACTCAACTGAGACAGGAAGATCGCCATGACGTCAAGGCCAGGCTGGGCTACATAGTGGGTTCAAGGCCAGCTTGAACTACATAGTGAGCCCTGTCTTGAACAAAAAGAAAAGATGTTAATTTATTTTAATTTACAAAAAAGTTACTAAAAATTTTAATCTATTTTATAAAATAAATAAAGCTTTAGAAAATATAAGTACGACTGGTTAGCTGGGATGCAGAGGGTATCCTGGCCAGGATCTGAGTATAGGCAGTCTCCCCCCACGCCGCAGGAGTTGGCCACCCCATCCCCAAGCTCTGAGACCTCCAGAGTGGGTAGAAGTGGGCTAGGGTTCCCCCAGCGGGGCAGAGTTTCCCAGTGTTGCACATACTTTCTTGGAGTAAAGGGCTCAATGCCAGATGGTGATGAGGGCAGAACCAGGTCCTAGAGCCACACAGTTTGAACCCAGGAAGGGTACAGGGCCACCTAGGGTTCTAAGTGTCACAAGCCACCCTCTGAGACTACTTCCCCTAACCGTGTTCATACCATCAAGGGGCCCAGCAGAAATCAGCATGTGAGGGAAGGATGGAGCAGTGGAAAGATCCCTGTGACTGCAAGGCCATGGCCAGGGTACCCCAGCCAAGGTTGGACACACACCCAGGCCCGTCCTGGCATACCTGGACCCGAGAGTGAGGGCCATCTTCTCTGGTCCCCTCCAGATGCCCCTCTGTGTTGATCCTGCCTGGGCAGGGTGAAACAGACATAAACACATGTATGCATAGGAGTTATCACCGAGCTATGGCAGGTGGTCTGAGACCCGAAGATGGGCACCCTGCCAAACTCCCTGTCCGTTCAGGCCTGGTTTGTACCTCTTGGCCGCCTTGCCCTGCCCCCTAAAGGCCTTGTCATGGAAAAGCTTGTCTTGGGGCGGGGACAGGAAATTGCTGGGCGGAAGCCGAAGCCTGCAGATAAAACAGGTGGCTTGTCAAAGGGGCAGCCAGGCACTGGGGCCAGAATTGAAGCAGGACCCCAAGATCACCATCTATGGAGGACTTCATCTATGGTGAGTGGATCCCCTCCTGTGTCTTCGGGACCTGGTACACTGGCTCACTTGGGCTCCGGGCTGGAAACTGGCAGACCGTCCATCTTTGGGGCCTGAGCTGGGGAGATGCCTTCCTTCTGGCTAGGTCTTGGATGAGGAGTGAGGAGCTAGGCAGAGCCCAGGCCATTCCTGGGAGGGTTCCACCCTACTGCAGTCAGGCTGATTTGCTCCCGAAGAACAAATCAAAACCAGGTGTGTGTGTGCCAACACCACCATCCACACACGTGGCACGTGCAGCCACACACCACAGACAGATGCACATGCAGTTGTGGATGACGGAATTCAGTAGGAAAAAGGGGCTGCATTCCTCTCTTTTTGGATATGCCCTCCTCTTTTTTGCTAGTATTGGAGATAGGAATTCAGGTCCTTATGTATGCTAAGCAAATGCTATAGCTCCAAGCTACATCCCCAATTTTTATTTATTTATTTATTTTTAACCAGGGATTGAACTTGGTTTGTTTGTTTTTTGGTTTTTGGAGACAGGGTTTCACTATGTAGTTGAGACTGACCTGGAACTCATTATGTAGGCTAAGCTGGTCTCAAACTCACAGCAATCCTCCTGCCTCAGCCTCCCAAGTGCTGGAATTACAGGCACGCGCCACCACGCCCAGCTCAGGGATTGAATTTGGGACCTTGTGCTTTCAAGGCAAGCAGAGGAACTATTGAGCTAAATCCCTGGCCCCGATTCCCAACTTTATAAAATTTTATTTCAAGACAGATCCTTGTTAAATTGCCCAAGTAGTCTGGAAATTGTGGTGTTCCTGCTTCAGCCTCCCAAGTACTGAGTAGAGGCATGCACCTCCACTGCGCCTAGCTCATACATTTATTTTTATTTTTTATGTTTTTATTTTGAGACAGGCCTCATTGTGTAGTTCCGACTGGCCTTAAACTCACTATGTAGCTTCAGCCTCCCCAGTGCTGGGATTACACCTGGCTTCATCCTTCTTTTTAAGTGTCAGTGGTGGCCTAGATTAGATCCTGCAGGCAGGAACCCGAGGGCCCTTCCTCATATCCCCATCCACCTGACTTCAGTGCTTCTGGGAGGCCTCAGGCTCGGGTCTCCCTTTGTGGGAGCAGCTCAGGGCTAGGTCGCAGTGAAGGCGCTGGGGACTTCCTGAGAGGAGTAATGCCAGGCCTCAAGGCTGAGCTTGGGCAGAGCTTTCCAGGGAGCCTGCTGAGGTTTTGGTTAGGGGCTGGGAGCCAGGAGGTTTTGTGCTGTCCTCCAGGTACTTTGGTTCCTCTGAGATTGGTGCAGGCTCAGGGGTGAGGGCTATGCGCCAAGACGAAAGGGAAGCCTGGGACTGAGGCCGGTCAGAGCCCAGCGAGGCTGGGGTGGGCTGGATGCAGAGCTGGGGCCCTCTTTGAACCTGTCCATAGTCCTGTGACAGGGGAGGTGAGGGTTCCCGTGAAGAAGTCTGCTCGTGCTGGTTCTGCCAGCTACCCCTGGGCGGTGCCTCCAGGACTGTCCAACCTGAGAATGCTGTGTCCAGGTCAATCTCAGGTTTGTCAGCCCGTGAGGTGCTGCCCCTTCCCCAGCGTCAGCTGTCACAAGATGACGACAGGTGCCCTGGCTTGGTGGGCTGGGAAGCCAGGTGCCCAGAAGCACGAGTCCATGGTTATGACGAGGACTAGAGGGTCATGTGCTGTGGGCAGTCGATGTGAGATCTGGGAGGAGCTAGAGAAAGATTTCCCCTCCCTGAGCAAGGTCACCGGAAGCCAGAAAGCACCAGGCAAAGATGTTTGGACACCTGGGTGCTCCAGGATCAATTCTGGGCAAAGGGCCTTCTGGAGGGAGCCCCTTCAGAGCGGGACAGCTTTCCCCACGAGCTGGGCGTAGTAGATAGGAATCAGCCAGCTAGGACCCTAGAGATCAGGGAATTTTTAAGGCTCTCCCCTCAAGTGGAAGGCTTGGGAGGAGGCAAGTAAGGGTGGGGAGGGCAGGTGAATTCCCCTCCCCTCAGGATTAAACCCAGTGACTCCCTCCGCTACTTCCCTCCCCACCTATTTTTAAATTTTGAGAGGGGCTTGCGAAGTCGCCCAGGCTGACATGGGCATCGAAAGGGGCCCAGGGACGGTCTAGGCTGGGAGCAATGTTGACTTCCAGGAACCAAGGTCGTGGTGCAGGTCCCTAGACTCTTCTCACTACGCCCCGCAGTTCCTGCACTGCCGGGGTCCAGAAGTGTGAGTCCTGAGTGTCCCTGGCGCTGGCTGGTCTGGGCGCGCAGGAGTCCTCGGGCCCTGCTCCTGCCCGGTGTGGGTTCCGGTGGTCAGCTGGCACCTCCTTCCTGGGCCTGGCCATCTTGGGACCTTCCCGGCTCCCCGCGTCCCTCCTCCGGGGGCCCGCGGAGCTCCAGGCCCC